CTCGAGGAGGAGGATGAGGGGGAAAACTGAGGCTCGAGGGTGTCAAGATCGAGGCAGGGGACTCGGAAATTAGATCCCGCCTCGAGCCCCGTGCTCACGGGCCCGTGGGCCCATGCACGAGGCTCGAGGCTCCTCGGGGATCCGACGGGAGCACCCCTCCTCCCCCTCATCCCCCTCCTCATCCTCTTACTCCTCCCCGTCCTGTTCCTCGATTCTCCTCCTCCTCCTCCTCCTCCTCCTCCACCTCCTCATCCTCCTCCTCCTCCTCCTCCTCCTCCTCCTCCTCCTCCTCCCCCGCGCCGAGGATGCGTGGCGGCTGTGCTTCCAGAAGCTCATGATAGAATCGATTCGAAAGGCAACGGGCAGGAAGGCCAGCCAGGCGAAGCTCGACGCGGTGAGGCAGCCACGGGGATGAACACGATGCTAACGATGATGATGGTGCTGACGGTGATGGTGATGCTGATGTTGCTGATGCTGATGCTGATGGTGATGATGAGGCTGATACTGTTGACGTATATGCTTGTGGCGGTGATGAGGATGATGGTGCTGCTCATGAGACTGACCGACTGTGATGATGCTGACAGTGCAGTGCTGGTGATGGTGATGGTGATGGTGGTGGTGCTGATCATGATGGTGATGATGCTACTGGTGATGATAATAATGATGATGATGCTGATGATAGTGATGATGATTATGATTATGATGATGATGATGGTGATGGTGATGATGATGCTGGTGATGATGATGATGATGATGATGGTGGCGATGATGCTGCTGATGACGATGATGTTAATGATGCTGATGCTGATGATGGGGATGATGTTGGTGATGGTGGCTATTGGTATCCTGGTGGTGATGGTGATGGCGGTGGTGATGATGATGAAGAGGACGAGGAGAACGGCTCGTTAACGAACCGTTCTCATCGTCCTCCCCAGGGAGCTCGCTGTGCCCCCCCCCTTGCGGGTCTTGGCGGCCTCCTCGAGCCCCCCCCCCCCCGTCCCTCGAGGGCCCCTTCGAGGGCCCCTCGAAATCCCCATCGGGGGGGGGCCTCGGGTGCCCCCTCGGGGCTTAACGAACGCTTTCGAGAGAGTAGCGCCCAGGTTCGTGCAGGCCAGGAGTATCCGCATGATGCACAGCCACTGGAAGCGCTACATGCAGACGGACTCCCAGACTGGCGGCGAGGTCACGCGGACACAACTCATATGGGGCTGGGGGGATGTAAATAATAATGATTTGGAATCCGTCATCCTCCCCCCTATCCAGCTGGGCTCCTCGCCCAACCTTTTCCTGCTCATCCTTCTCCGTCGCCTCATCCTCCGCCTTCTCCCGCTCATTTCCCAGGAGCCCCCGAAGCCGTTCACATATTCTGATAAGCACCCGTGGTACAGCCCATCTCGCTCGCGAAGTCCGACCTCGTACAGAAATTCAAGATGCACCAACAACGCCAAGACCCCCCCCCCCTCCTGACGAACAAACAACACACACACACACCCATACCCGTAAAGAGGGGACTGCTAGGTTCGTGTTGTCGGATGGGGGTATACGCTCGAACGGGAGCCTCGTCCCTTGTGCTCCCGCGCGAGGCCATGATTGCAGTCGGCGAGTCGGGCGATGACAGCGACATCGACGAGAAAGAGCTGTCAGAGCACTTGCAGAAGGCGACGTTACCTTCTCGTCCTGCTTCTCCTCCTCCTCCTCCTCCTCATCTCGTTTCAGATTCCTTCCATCACCATCTCTCCTCTTCCTTCCCCGCGGGGGGGGGGGGGGGGGGGGCTTGAAAACCACGGAGACGGGTGCGCTCTCTGGTTTCAGGTTGTGGTGAGTGTGGGAGTGGGGAGGGGCTCCTCCTCCGTCAGTTCAGGCCCACCTCGGCTCGAGCCTCTTCCGTCCGTATCCTTGCACATCTCCACTGTTCAGTCTGTTATTCCTCTGTTCCTTATCCACGTCCTTAACCTTTTCCTTCAGCATCCCTCGAGTATCATCCTGATTATGCATGTGCCTCGTCTTCCCAGTATCAGCGTGGTCCGTCTCCTCCTCCTCATCATCATCATCAGCATCAGCGTCGTCATCATCATCATCAGCAGCAGCATCATGATCATCATCCGCTCATCTTCATTACTTCTCCTCCTTCATCTCCTCCTCGTCTTCCTGTATCCAGCCTCCTCTCCTTTTTCTCATCGTTCCTTCTTCTCGCCCTTCCCCATCGCCCAGCATCTTTGCACGAATCGCCTGTAGGCGATGCTGGTGTATGTGACCGACTCGGACGATGAGCAGCGGCCCCTCGAGGACGGCGAGGTCAAAGACGAGAGGCAGCAGCCCCATCGAGGGCGGCGCTGTGGAGGGCGGCGAGGGGTGCCCGACGCCCATCGAGGACGGCGAGGCCAATGGCGAGAAGCAGCAGCCCCTCGGGGGCGGCGAGGTCAATGACGACGAGAAGCAGCAGCCCCTCGAGGGCGGCGAGGTCAATGACGAGAAGCAGCAGCCCGCAGAGGACGGCGAGGTCAAAGACGAGGAGCAGCAGCCCGCGGGCGGCGAGGTCAATGACGAAGAGCAGCAGCCCGCGGACGGCGAGGTCAAGGCTGAGGAGCAGCAGCCCGCGGACGACGGCGAGGTCAAGGATGAGGGGCAGCAGCCCGAGCACGACGGGGTCAAGGATGAGGGGCCAGAAGCTCGGGGGTCCATGCGGGTCAAACGCGGAATCCTGTTCTACCGCAGTCTGGCGGGCAAGAGAAATAATAATAATAATAAGAAGAAGAAGAAGAATAAGAAGCGGGGCAGTAAGGGGAAGAGCGCGGCGAACTCCAAGAAGAAGAAGAATAATGCTGCTGCCCCGCAGACACCTGCGGCCGCCAGTTCCTCAGGTGCGCTGCCCGCCTGGCCCGCGGCCACGCCGCCCCCCAAAGCCAAGAGAGCGAAGGTCGAGGTCGCGGCGGCGGGCTCCGGCACGGACGCGGTGCCAGCTGGCAAGGGCAAGGGCAAGGGCAAGGGCTCCGAGGACACGGCGCCTGCGGGCTAGGGCAAGGGCAAGCGCAAGACTGGAGGCTCCGCAGCGGACAAGGGCAAGGGCATGGGCGAGGCTGGGGCCGCCGCAGCGGGCAAGGGCAAGGGCGAGACTGGAGGTGCCGCGATGGACAAGAGCAAGGATCCGACGTCGACAGGCTCTGCCGCGGGCAAGGGCGAGGTCAAGGGCGCGATCTCGAGCAAGGGCCAGGGCAAGGACGAGTCGACTGGAGGCTCCGCAGCAGCGGGCAAGGGCAAGGGCAATGTCAAGGACGCGATGGTCTCGGGCATGGGCGAGGGCGCGATGATCTCGGGCAAGGGCAAGGGCGCCGTGATCTCGGGCAAGGGCAAGGGCTCAGGCAAGGTGCAGAAGACGATCTCGAAAGTTACGATGAAGAGGCCTGCGGGAATCGACCTCGACAAAGAGGAAGAAAAACAATAAGCAGAAGAGGAGGAGAAAGAGGAGGAGGTAGACCAGGAGGAGGACTACGACGAGGCCGAGGAAGCAGAGGAGGAAACGCCCAAGGAGCACGATCCAGGGGTTGACGACGAGGACGGCGAGGGGGCAGATGCCGAGGTGGAAGCTCTAGACGAGGACAACGAGGCGCCAGAGGTGGCCCAGGACGAGACCAAGACGTCCTACGTCGGCGAGTCGGGGCAGGAGATTTGGCTGCACCTCAGGCGCAGGGAGAGCGAGAATACCACCTGCATCGACTTCAAAAGCTGGGAGCCTGGGGGTTTCAAGCAGTTTGTCATGCTGACGGACAGGGTGGCGGAGAAGTGCATGGGCCCGCTCGGCGTCGTCGACGGCAGGGAGGCGTCGTGGCAGCTCATGCGGATGGTTTGGGCCGAGCTGAAGGCCAAGAAGATCACCGACAAAGAGCAGGCCAAGCAGATCAGGAACCAGATCCTGGCAGATCACTAGCTCGGCCGAGGAGCTCGCTGTTCATCAATTTCGAATAGGGTGGCTGACCGCAAGCTAGCCTGTTTGGCGCGCGGCCAACCTCCGTTCAGGCTGGCTGCTATATTTGGGGGTGCCTGGGGGGATGGGGGATTCGCGTTTCCGCCTCTGTGCGAGGCGCGGGGGGTTAGGCCCCCCGCCGCCCCCCCGTCCAGGGCCTGCCAGGGCGATCGCCAGTTATTCAACCTCGAGCTGGCAGGCCCCGCCCCAGGGCCCCCTCATGCACAGCATTATTGTTGGCTTCATTTTCGGGGGCAGCTTCATCATCGGGGGCGGCTTCGTCTTCGGGGGCAGCTTCGTCGGGGGCGGCTTCATCTACGGGGGCAGCTTCGTCCTTGACGGGAGCGGCTTCATCTTCATCGTCGGCGGCGGCTTCGTCGGCGGCGGCTTCATCTTCAGCCCCCGCGCGGGCGACGGAATTGCGGTAACGGGGCCACCTACGTATCCTTGTCCCTATCATGTCCTCCTCGATCGTACTTCCTCACCCGTTCTCTTCTCCGCATGCGTCCGCCTTGAGCTCCAGCCTCTCGGTCCTCCACTGCTCCCCTGGCTGGGAAGCCACCCGCCCTTGTTCGTATCGCAACTCGGTCCTCCCCACTCGCATCCTCAATGTGCCTTCCTCCTGTCCTCTCCGTAATCCCCCCTATCGTGCCCCCCCCCACTGTTCTCTTCAGTGTCACCGTGATCGTTGGGATGAAAGACGAGCCTCGAGGACGAGGAGGATCGATGATGATCTCAATGGGGAGGGGGGGGAGGAGGAGGAGGAGGAGGAGGAGGAGGAGGAGGGCCCCGAATGGGCCTGCTCGAAGGGCCCGCGTCGAACGCCCTTCGGGCCCAGGACGATTTCTTCGGGCCCGAGGGCCCCAGGAATGCCCGGAGAGCTCGGTGCCATATGCGCGAATGCTCATCTTCGGGGGCGGGTTCACCTCGGACAGGTGCTTCGGCTATCTCGATCGGGGGTGGCTTCATCCTGGGCATGGGCTCCACGACACCCGCTGCGAGCGACGGAACAGTAGAGGCGCCGAGATGCCTGATAAAGGGGGCCCGGTTCCTCATTGGTCATAGCATGCCCTCTCCGGTCGTACACGGTTTCATCCTTGTAGTAGTCGGCGTTGGTTGCATCTCCCTTGAGTTCCCGACCCCTCGCCCAAACAAATCGGATATGGCCACCGAATGTACCTGGTTGAGTTCGTACACCATCGATGCAGCGCACTCGACCGCGCCTTCCCCCCACCCCCTTCCGCCCCCTCCCTCTGTCGGAACGGGGGCTAGGACCTGGGAGGCGATTTCCCACCGTGCTACTGCAGATCCAAGCTCGTGCCCCTCAGCAGTGCCCCCCTGATCCGAACGGGTCAGCCTTGAGCGCTCCCGCTCGAGCCCCCCGCCCACCGACCCCATTAGCGTGCGCCCAGGGTGTTCATGATCAACTCCTCGCCCCTCCGCCCCCCGTGCCCGGGTGAGCGGCGCCGCGTTCGAGCTGCGCGGCTGGGTACTTCAGCCAGGGTTCAGCTCGGCGCCGCCTGCCGACACAAGATTCCGAGTTTGGCTTGGCAGTCGGTGAGATGCAGGGGGGGTGCAGGCTTCAGATGAGCAGGCTTGAAGATGCAGACTTGGTTCGACGGGCTAGGAGATGCAGTATTGGAGATGCGGGCCAGGCGGTAAGGCTGGATACATATAAATATAGTAGACTAAGCTGCGGCCACTTGCACAAACGTGCGTGTACCTCGTCGACTCGTTAATGCAATCATGCATCTCTATACTTCGAGACTTGAAATGCTGGCCCAGAATCGGCAGGCTAGGATATATAGGCTAGGAGGTACACTAATGGATAGGTAGACCATGCAGGCGTACAGGCTAGGCGAGACAGGTACAGATAAGCAGACCATGACATGTAAGTGTTGGCCATGCAGGTGCATGCCATGAGATGCGATGCAGCCCGAGTCAGATTCCTGCCATCTCGAGGAGGATCGATGCTATCAAGGACGAGAGGGCGGAGGGAGGAGGAAGAGGAGGCGCGAGGCGTAGCACCGCTTCGAGTCAGCATGCCTGGGTCGCGCCTGCTCGATCGAGAGCGCCCCATGGTGTCTGGCCGTCCACGCCATGAGGCGGATCTATCGAGGAGGGGGGGGGGGATGAGGGGAAGACTGACTGACTGACTGACGCGCGGCTGTCGGACTGACTGAGGGGACTGGCCACTGCGTCGGCTCCCTTGGGATCGATTCGGCTGGGGCTGGGCGCGGTGCCGTAGGCTCCCTGGGGCTGCGCGCGCGGGACCGACCGTCGGTTCCTAAAGGGTCGAGCCGATTGGGACTGCGCACGCGGTGCCGTCGACTGTGCCGACCGACCCCCATGGGGGCCGAGGGATGCGCGCGGGACACCGTCGGCTCCCAAGGGGAAAGCAGGTGATCGTCGGAGGCTCGAGGGGGATGAGGAGATGGCTGGTCGATGCCGCGGCCGCGACGGTCGACCTCGCATGTGTGTTGTCGAAGTGCCCGTGTCGTGCCCCACGGAGAGCAGGGCGGATGCTGAGGAAAGCGGATCGGTCGGAGGAGGCCGAAGATCGAGGGTGCCAGATCTCGAATCCTCCATCGATTAGTTTGGCACTTGGACAAAGTGCACTTCGACAAGTCACCTGCGAGGTCGACCGCCGTTGCCGTGGCATGAACCAGCCATCGATATTGGCTGGTCGATGCCACGGTAACGGGAATCGACCTCGCAGGTTCTTGGTCCGTGCAGCCCTGTTCTGCACCATGGTGGATCGATGCGGACTCGAGGCGAGATCGATAGGGCGAGGGCGCCGAGGATGAGGATCTGGACGGTGCCACGGCCACTGAGATTGACCTCGCAGGTTCTTGGCCCAGGCACCCCTGCCCTGCCCCTGCGCGCCGCGCTCGCCCGCGGGGCGCCGCTGGACACCTGGCAAAAAGGGGTCGCGAAAACAACGAGCGATTCATACATATATATATATATATATATATATATACATATGTATGTATATATATATATATATGTGTGCATGGACCGATGGGGGAAGGCCTTGAGGGGCCCGTAGGGCCAGGAGGAAGGGGCCAGATGATAGACCAGACGACCGATTGGATGAGCATGGGGGACAGGGGGATCGATCAGGATGACCCTCGATCGACCGATAGTTCGACGATCGAAGGCCAGGGGGGCGCAGAGCCAAGAGGATGACCAGGAGGACGAGGAGACGGAGGACCAGGAGGGCGAGGACGAGGGCCAGGAGGACCAGGGGGACCAAGAGGACGAGGCCGAGGAGGACCAGGAGGACGCAGAGCCAGGAGGATGACCAAGAGGACGAGGACGAGGATCACCCCACCCGTTAATCGAGGGCCCGCGGGTGTGTGATCTGGGGGTTCGCGACAAGGGCTCGCGGACCAGGAGGACCGTTTGGGTGGAAGTCGCGGTGGTGGTGTGGTGGGTGGTGGTGGTGGTGGTGGTGGGGGGGGGGGGGATCGGGGGCTCGCGGGCGGGTGTCTGGAGGTTCGCGGCGGGGGCTCGCGGGTGGGCGTGACCTCGATCGTGCCCGCCGATGCCCCCTGGTCGGGCAGGGGGGGGGGGCAAGAGAGCGCGCGCGCGGCCCAGGTCGACCTGGGCAGCGCCGACGGCGCGCGGCAAGGACACACAAGGCAAGGAGTCTACCAGGCGGGCTCTTTCTACGCGCGCGCACGTGGTCCAGCGAGGGGCAGGCCATCTGCGTCGGTCGGGGCGGGCGGCGGCGCGCGCAGGGCCGGCCGCCGCCCCGCCGCCCCCCCCCCCCTGCCCCAGCCCCCCCCCCCCCCCCCCCCCCCCCCCCCCCCCGAGAAAGAAACGAAGAACACGTGCCCCGCGTGCGGTTCTAATGCTTTTAATGTTCGCAATGTTTTGCATGTTAGTTTAATGTTCGTTTTAATGTTTGTTGTTTAATGCTGTTAAAGTTTTTAACGTTTTCCGTGTTCATTTTTATATATATATATATTTATATATATATATATATATAGAAAAAACGTTTTTCATGACGTTCGTTTAATGTTCGTTCAATGTTCGTTTAGTGTTTTTAATGTTTTTGACGTTCGTAATGTTTTTGATGTTCGTGACGTTTTTCATGTTCGTTTAATGTTCGTTTAATGTTCGTTAATGTTTTTCACGCCTTTCACGTTTTTTTTTTTTTTTTTTTTTTTTTTTTTTTTTTTTTTTTTTTTTTTTTTTTTTTTTTTTTTTTTTTTTTTTTTTTTTTTTTTTTTTTTTTTTTTTTTTTTTTTTTTTTTTTTTTTCATGTTCGTAACGTTTTTAATGTTCGTAACGTTTTAAATGTTCGTTTAATGTTCGTTTAATGTTTGTTTTTAACGTTTTTCATGTTCGTAATGTTTTGAATGTCAGTTTAATGTTCGTTTATTGTTCGTGTAATGATTCGAATGTTTTTAGTGTTCGTAATGTTTTTAATGTTCGTGCCGTTTTTAATGTTCGTTTAATGTTCGTCTAATGTTTTTAACGTTTTTAACGTTCGTACTGTTTTCCATGTTCGTAACGTTTTTAATGTTCGTACGTTTTAATGTTCGTTTAATGTTCGTTTAATGTGCGTTTAATGTTTCTAACGTTTTTAATGTTCGTTTAATGTTTGTTTACTGTTCGTTTAATGTTTCTAACTTTTTTTTTTGTTTTTTTTTTTTTTTTTTGTTTTTTTTTTTCGCCATATATATATAACATTATTACAAGTTCGTCTAATTTTCGTTTAATGTTCGTTTAATGTTTTCCATGCTCGTAATGTTTCTAATGTTCGTAACGTTTTAAATGTTCGTTTACTGTTCGTTTGATGTTCCTTTAACGTTTTACATGTTTTTAACGTTATTCATGTGCGAAGCGTTTTTAATGCTCGTAACGTGTTTAATGTTCGTTTAATGTTCGTTTAATGTTCGTTTAATGTTTTTAACTTTGCTCATGTTCGTAATGTTGTTAGTGTTCGTAAT